TGGCGGGCACTTGTAATCACAGCTACTCAGGAGGCTGAGGCAGAAGAACTACTTGAACCTGGGAGGTGGAGGCTGCAGTGCACCACTGCACTCCACCCAAGGAGACAGAGCAAGACTGCATTGCAAAAAAAAAAAAAAAAGAAATACAAAAAAGACAAAAAAATAAGAAGCATGTATTTCACTGAATGCAGACCTTGGGTAGGTTAAAGGAGATGAGGAAAAAGGGAAAGAAAATAAGTACTATATAAAGGTATTTGACTAATTATATTTATCTGAATAAGATGCAAAAAAAAAAAAATTTGAACTGTTCTGAGGTTGATCAGTAGTTGCACTCAACTAAATAAGATACGTCTCATGAAAAATAGAGTTCACAATACAAGCATATACAGAATAATACGTTTTCAGCTCAGAATTTGGAAGAATAACTTTGGGTAGAAAAGATGTTGTATACAACAAAATTAAAGGACTTTCCATTTAATAAGAGAAGATTTGGATATTGTAAAGAAATCCAATAGACCCTTTGATGAAAAAGCAATACTTAAAAAAGAATCTAGCATTAAAACCCTTGAGAAAAGTTTCAGTGAAAATCTTTTCTTGATACATATTACAAGTTGACAAAATTAATACCTAAAAATGTAAATAAATGTATTAATATCTAAATATATATTACTATTTTCTTACCTTTTGCATATATAAAAAGCACCCAACAAAAATGGAAAATTTCAGACACAGTACAGGGCTGTCGCCTTTGAGGGAAGAAAAAAAAAGTCATGAGACAACAGAAGAATCAGAAAAAAGACATCCCAAATGACCATAAATTAGGTGTGAAATAAAACCCACAGTTAAAGGGGGAGATGCCAGATCCAGGTTCACATGGAAAACGTGGAAGTTCTGCCTCAACAAAATATTGGTAGGAAATAGCTGGGATCCAGGGAAAGAGCCCATCTCAAAGAAAAGAAAATTCTTAAAGAATTTTTTAAACTTTTTTGAGGGCAAGATAGGTAAGGTGGAAAATAACATGAATAAAAATAGTTCTTTTGATGACATAGCAATGCTATGTTGCTTTAAGATCACTATATACAGTCAGATATGTCATTTTTTTCTCCTTTTTCATAGCTAATGACCTGTATCCCTCTCTCCTCCTCTAAAGATATTCCAGACTATATCAAATCACAAAAGGCCTTTTTAATGTAAATTATAAGCTTCCTATAATTCCTTATACTTCCATCCATTAAGAGTTCCTGTTGTATATCGCCAAGTTGTTTGCTAAAGGGAGTTTCTGACCTGCGTTAAGCTTGGCTTTTCTACCAAAACCTCTGGCAACGTTTAGACAAGAAATGTGTGGTCTCCACATCCCAACAGCCTTATTCTAACAAGGGGCGGAGAAGAACAAAATTCCGTGGCGATCAGACCAGACTTAGTTCCAGCACTACCATTAGCCAGGATACACTTGCTTACCTGGACCTTAGTCATTTCACTTGTCAAAAGATTATTCTTCTGGGTACAATACTGTACTTAATTCACCAGTCCATGGAATAAATGTAGTGTTTTGCTTTTAAAAGTAGTCCCTCTACCATAGGCACATGCTAAACTATTTCTAATTCTGGTTGCCTACCAAAATAAAATTCAATTTTTTTAGCTTAACACTTAAGCTACTCTTAATTCTGGCTTTACAACTTGAGAATTCTAGAAAAAAAAAATTGACTAACCTCCCACATTTCCTCTTGCTTTACTCCTTTTGTGTCTTTTCTTGTTGTTTCCTCTGCACAGAAGGTGCTATCTGTATCTCCAAATTCACCTATCAAAATCCTACCCATCTTTCAAGACCCATTTCTACTTATTCCATGTAAACTTATCTGACTGGCTTATTCATAGTGATTTCTTTTCCTCCTAAGTTTTACATCTCTATTCCCTGTTGTAGTCACGGGACTTTTATAACACGCTGCATTGCATGCACTGGAATCTTCATACCTGCCTCATCTCGCTGACTGTGCCGTAAGCTCTCAAGGGACAGAGACTGTGGGCTTTGGTGTTTTAAAAAATGCCTGTGTCCTACGTAATACCTAACAGTATTTCCTGTGGATAAGTGCTAAACAAATAGTGACAAATTTTCAAACAGAGATGCAGTATACAATCACAGTAAAGCACATGGGTTCTGTAGTCAGCTTCCCTAAGAGCTCCACATTTAACAGTTGTATGACCCTGGCCAAATTTTTTAACCTCTCAGCGGCTTATTTTCTCTATCTGTAAAAACAGTATGAGCATCACAAGGTTGTCAGAGGGATTAACTGAAGTACTACCTATTTAAGTCTTAAAAGAGTCCCTGCCCCACATTAAATGCTCAGTAAGTGCTATACATTATGACTATAGTTAGCAGGAAGAGCTAATAGAAAGTATACAAAGTGATAAAAATGTGAAATCTCTAATAAAGTGATTTTTTTTTTTTTCTGAGACAAGGTCCTGCTCTGTCACCCAAACTGGAGTGCAGTGGTATGATCACAGCTCACTGCAGCCTCAACCTCCCAAGTTCAAGTGATCCTCCCACCTCATCCTCCCCAGTAGCTGGGACCACAGGTGTGTGCCACCACTCCAAGCTAACTTTTGTATTTTTTGTGGAGATGAAGTTTTGCCATGTTGCCCAGGCTGGTCTCAAACTCCTAGACTCAAGTGATCGGGCCACTTCAGCCTCCCAAAGTGCTGGGATCAGATGTGAGCCACTGCGCATGGCCTTTTACAATTCTGTTAATTAGAATCAGGTAGTATATACATCCTAAGAAATATCAAAACAAGTACAATCTCAAATTATTTTCCAGATACTCCAAAGAAAGAAGCTATCTTTCTATAAATGATCACGTTGGCCTCTCTCAGACTCAACACAAAGCTTCCATCCAAACTTTAGGACACACTGCATTGCATACACTGGAATCCTCATACCTACCTCATCTCACTGACTATACTGCAAGCTCTCAAAAGACAGACTGTGGGCTTTGGTGTTTTAAAAAATGTCTGTGTCCTACATAATACCTAACAGTATTTCCTGTGAATTAGTGCCAAACAGTGACAAGCTTTCAAAATAGTGTATTTCCTGTGAATTAGTGCCAAACAGTGACAAACTTTCAAAATAGTGTGTCCAAGATGCTGTATACAGTCATAGCAAAGCATATTTTATTTATTTATTTATTTATTTTGAGATGGAGTCTCACTCCATCACCCAGACTGCAGTGTAGTGGGGTGATCGGAGCTCACTACAACCTCCACCTCCTGGGTTGAAGCAATGCACCTGCCTCAACCTCTCAAGTAACTGGGACTACAGGCACACGCCACCACGACCAACTAATTTTTGCATTTTTAGTAGGGATGGGGTTTTGCCATGTCAGCCAGGCTGGTCTTGAACTCCTGACCTCAAGTGATCCACCTGCCTTGGCCTCCCAAAGTGCTGGAAGAATACATCATTTTATTTATTTATTTATTTTTAAAACGGATTCTTGCTCTATAGCCCAGGCTGGAGTGCAGTGGCAGGATCTCGGCTCACTGCAACCTCTGCCTCCTAGGTTCAAGTGATTCTTCCACCTCACCCTTCCAAGTAGCTGAGATTACAGGTACCCGCCACTACATCCCACTAATTTGTGTATTTTTAGTAGAGACGGGGTTTCACCACATTGGCCAGGCTGGTCTTAAACTCCTGACCTCCCGCCTCGGCCTCTGTGCTGGGATTACAGGCGTGAGCCACCACACCTGACCAGAATACTTCCTTTTATATTTATGAGATGGAGTTTCATTTTTGTCGCCCAAGCTGGAGTGCAGTGGCATGATCTTGGCTCACTGCAGCCTCTGCCTCCCGATTCAAGGGATTCTTCTGCCTCAGCCTCCCAAGTAGCTGGGATTACAGGTGTGCACCACCACACCCAGCTAATTTTTGTATTTTTAGTAGAGACAGGGTTTTGCCATGTTGGCCAGGCTGGTCTCAAACTCCTGACCTCAGGTGAGTCGCCCACCTCAGCCTCTCAAAGTGCTGGGATTACAGGTGTGAGCCACCATGCCTGGCTCAGAATACTTCATTTTAAATAGTCAATTCCCCAAAATTGTTAGTGAACTAGAACAGATGCTTCTGTATCAGTGGTGCCAACTATATTAAAATGTAAATAGTTTTAGCTTTTTATTTTTTTTATGTTTTTCCACCTGCTTTGTCATTCCCCCATTTTGTTTTTAAAAGGTTACATTTATTGTAAACATCCTTCACAGTCTGGGAAAACTTTTATATTTAAAGAGAGGCAAACATTATTTATTCTAGCCAAATAACTCCTTTCCCCTTGCTTTTCTTGTCAACACTTTTCTAGTTGTTAGAATTTTCATTTCTAACAAGTTTATGAAAAAACTTTCAACAATAAAGAAGGCAATGTGTATCCCATAACTGCCTTTATCTATCAGTAACAGTAGTAAACACTGAGCCAGAGTATGCTTATAGACTTTGCAGAACTGATCAGAAAGCACACCTTCATAATAGTTTCAGTTCTCCTGTCTTTTCCCAATCTAGTCTCTCTATTCTTGATTCACTATAAACATCAAAATATAGAAGTCATTTCAAGGGGATTATTTACTACTCACTTTGACATAAAAGTAAAATAGTCTATACAGTCACTAGTAGCAAATATAGTGGTTGGCTGCATGTGGTGGCTCACGCCTGTAATTCCAGCACTTTGGGAGGCCGAGGTGAGTTCATCACAAGTTCAGGAGTTCAAGACCAACCTGGCCAAGACAGTGAAACCCGGCCTCTACTAAAAATACAAAAATTAGCCAGGCATGGTGTGCGCACCTGTAATCTCAGCTACTCAGGAGGCTGAGGCAGGGAATTGCTTGAACCCGGGAGGCGGAGGTCGCAGTGAGCTGAGATCGTGCCACTTCACTCCAGCCTGGGCAACAGAGCAAGACTCTGTCTCAAAAAAAAAAAGAAAAGAAAAGAAAATATAGTGGTCAACACAGCGATCTATATCTAGGGCAGTGTTCATTTTGGCAGAACATATACTAAAATTGGAATGATACAGAGATTCCCATGGCCCCTGCACAATAAATAAAATATATATCTAGATACAGATATAAATACATCTCCAGGGCAGCTAAAGGGTGAAAATCCCTGAAGTCTGACTTGCAGAGTCTGTCTGCATTTTTTGTTGTTTAAATGCAAAAGGAAGGTTTCAGAACAAGGATCACTGAGGAAAAAATAATTATAAAATAAAATAAGAAAAAGGAAAATTTATAAAAACAAAGACACCTATACTTTTAGCAATATGAAACAAGCCAAGCTCTTAATGGCTAACCCACAATGAAAAGCAAAAAAGCATTATTAAAAGAAAACTATTGGGAAAAAGATCATTTAAATAGCATGTTTTTTTAACTAGCAAAAAAATTAGCAAAATATCAAAACTGCAGCAGAGATGAAAGTGTATTCCCGACGAACAAACATGAAAACCTACCGCTGCTTCCTTCCTCGCTGCTGACGAGGTTGCTCCTCTTGAGGGTATTTAAAGATGTCCTGAAAAATGGGTTCATATTTCTTAAAAATTACAGCAGAAACAGTGAAGTTTCTTTCTAATCTCTCAGTACGTTCTCTGAAATGTGGGGGTAGATTTGCCATCTCTTCCCACTTCTTCATCTTATTAAAAAATTCGATTAAGCTGGTATTAAAGATAAAAAATAAGACATTTCATAATTAATATAAAGGTAAAGTATATAAAAGCAAGTTTTCAAAAGTAAATCAATATTATTTCATTAAAGCCTATTACTTTTAGACAGTGAAATAAAATCACAACTCATGTCTCTGACTAGCTTAATTTCTTACAGATTGGTATATTTCTCTGATCCTCCTAATCCATTTTTTTAGGTTACCTAAAGTATTTGTTAATTATGAATTTGAAAATACAAACCAAAATTAACAAGAGTATCATAACCAACATTCACGTTGGTTCACTGCCAGATGTTTTAAATGTTAACATGGTAAATAAATTTTGTCATTTTTGCTTCAGTTTTTTTTTTTTTTTTGGAGATAGGGTTTTACTCTGTCACCCATGTTGGAGTTCAGTGGCAAGATCACAGCTGACTGCAGACACCTGGGCTTGTGTGATCCTCCTACCCTGACTTCCCAGAACACTGTGATTACAGGTGTGAGCCACCAACCCTGGCCACTTCATTTTTTTTAAAAGCCAGAAACACTATAGAAACAGCCAAGGCCAGGCACGGTGGCTCACACCTGTAATACCAACACTTTGGGAGGCTGAGGAGGGGGAATCACAAGGTCAGGAGTTTGAGAGCAGCCTGGCCAACATGGTGAAACCCTGTCTCTACTGAAAATACAAAAAATTAGCTGGGTGTGGTGGCAGGCGCCTGTAATCCCAACTACTTGGGAGTCTGAGGCAGGACAATTGCTTGAACCTGGGAAGCTGAGGTTGCAGAGAGCCAAGATCTCACCACTGCACTCCAGCCCGGGTGACAGTTCGAGACTCCCTCTCAAAAAAAGAAAAGGAAAAAAAAAAAAGCCTAAATTCCCATTTTATACTCCTCCCCAATCCCATCCCCACCTTTCTTTCCCAAAAATAAATACCATTTCAAAATTGGTCTTAATCCTTCCCATGTTTTCATACTTACTACACATATACATGTATGCATAAACAATAAGCAACATCTTATTAGTTATTACACATTTTTACATTTTATATAAATGGTATACTTCAGCGGTATTCTGCATCTTGCATTTTCACACTCAATAATGTTTCTGACATTAATGTTGATACATAAGATATATTCCCCTTAATTGCTAAAAATATTCTTTCATATGAACATACAATGACTTTTTGCATTCACTCCCCAACCATGGAAATTTAGGCTGTTTCTAATTTTCCATGATAACAAAAAAATATTGTAATGAAATCATCCTTATACATGTATGCAGGAGTTCCTTTAGAAATTACTCCAAGAAGAGGAGTCAGAGAATGTGTATCTTCAATGTTACTAGATACCACCAAATTTCCTAATTAAGTAGTTAAGCCAATTTTTACTCTCACCAATGTACACTAGCAATATTAAGTTCCTGGCTAAGCATGGTGGCTCATGCCTGTAATCCCAGCACTCTGGGAGGCTGAGGCAGGCGGATCAATTGAGGTCAAGAGTTCGAGACCAGCCTGGCTAACATGGTGAAACCAGTCTCCACAAAAAATACAAAAATTAGCCAGGTGTAGTGGCGTGCACCTATAGTCCCAGCTACCCTGGGAGGCTTAGGCATGAGAATCACTTGAACCCAGGAAGCAGAAGTTGCAGTGAGTAGAGATCGAGCCACTGTACTCCAGTCTCGGCAGCAAAGTGAGACCCCATCTCAAAACAAATTAAAAAACTGAAAAATTAAAAAAATAGAGTTCCTATTTCCCTGCACAGTGACCAAACTTGGTATTACCAGATTTCAAATTTTCCCAATGATAAGAATTAAATGCTGGCCAGGCACGGTGGCTCACGCTTCTATTCCCAGCACTTTGGGAGGTCAACAGGGGTGGATCATATGAGCTCAGGAATTTGAGACCAACATGGTAAAACCCTGTTCTCTACTAAAAATACAAAAAAATGGGGGAGGGGACCCCACTGCTCAGGCTGGGTCCTCACCCTCCTTAAAAGAAAAAAAAAAAAAAAATTAGCCGAGTGTGGTGGTTTGTGCCTATAATCCCAGCTGCTTGGGAGGTCAAGGGGAAAGAATCACTTGAACCCAGGGGATGGAGGCTGCAGTGAGCGAAGATCACACCCCTGTACTCTAGCCTGGGCGAAAGAGCAAGATTCCATTTCAAAAAAAACAATGTTATCTTTTTACTTTGAAAATCTTTCTTAGTGAAATTATCTTTTCCTGTATCTATTAGCTATGTGAGTTATAACCTTTATATATAAATATAATAAAGAAGTCATATTCTTTATTCATTTTATTAACCCTGTTAGTAGTTCTGAATATAATCCTGTATACTGATTCTTTGGTCAGTGTAACTCAGGATGAAGTTAAAGGTTAAAAAAAGGTTACTGCGGCCAGGCACGGTGGCTCACACCTGTAATCCCAGCACTTTAGGAGGCCGAGGCGGGTGGATCACGAGGTCAAGAGATCGAGACCATCCTGGTCAACATGGTGAAATCCCGTCTCTATTAAAAATACAAAAAATTAGCTGGGCATGGTGGCACGTGCCTGTAATCCCAGCTACTCAGAAGGCTGAGGCAGGAGAATTGCCTGAACCCAGGAGGTGGAGGTGCGGTGAGCCAAGATCGCGCCATTGCACTCCAGCCTGGGTAACAAGAGCGAAACTCCGTCTCAAAAAAAAAAAGGTTACAGCTAAAGCATGACATCGTAAATTATTTCATTTGCACTGGAGTCTCGCTTTTCTCACCCAAGCTGGAGTGCAATGGCATAATCTCAGCTCACTGAAACCTCCAATCTCTGCTTCCTGGGCTCATGATTTTCTTGCCTCAGGCTCCCGAGTAGCTGGGATTACAGGCACACGCCACCACACCCAGCTAATTTTTGTATTTTTAGTTGAGATGGGTTTTTGCCATGTTGGTCAGGCTGGTCTCGAACTTCTGACCTCATGTGATCCACCCGTCTTGACCTCCCGAAGTGCTGAGATTACAAGTGTGTGTCACCGCACCTGGCCTGTTAATTATTATTTTAATAGTAAGCTTTTTTTTTTTTTTTTTTGGCAGGGGGTAGGGGACAAGGTCTTGCTTCAACATTCTGGGCTCAAGTGATCCTCCCATCTCAGCCTCCCAAGCAGCTAGTCCTGCAGGTATGCACAACCATACCTGGTCAATTTTTTTATTTGGTAAGTGATTTTTTTTTAACACTTTAGGAGGCAGGGGTGGGCAGATCACAAGGTCAGGAGTTCAAGACCAGCCTGGCCAACATGGCAAAACCCCGTTTCTACAAAAAAAAAAACACAAAAATTAGCTGGGCATGGTGGCATATGCCTGTAATCCCAGTTACTCAGGAGACTAAGGCAGGAGAATCGCTTGAACCCAGAAGGCAGAGGCTACAGTGAACCAAGATCACGCCATTGCACTCCAGCCTGGGCGACAGAGCAAGACCCCGTTTCAAAAAAATAAATAAAAATAAAATAAAATAATAAAACAAACTCTTCCATACAAGTGCCTAATACATTAAAATTTAAATATTTTCACCAAAGAAATAAAATATAATGGATACCAACTTTGATATAAATAAAGGAAAATCATTAGATGCTAATTTTAGCATCTAATTTCACCAGTCCACAGGTACAAATGCTCAGAAAATGATAAACAGAATTGTTACTACTATCACTAAGATTTATGAGCTCATATTAGCCATACTCTACTTCTCAAACTCTAACATAGTTACCTCTGCTCTGAACATTTCAGGATTCTAGTTAAAGATACATAGTTTCCTTCTACTGTCCCTTTGCTTACAGTTGGAACAGATTTTCTGCAAGCCACATATAAGGCACATGCTAACCAATGAAGATCATTTCCCTGTAAAAGAAAAGAAAATCAATTTTTAGTTAATTAGCTATATACATATTTCAATA